CCCCTCTCTAAAAAAAAATATATACACTTAATAAACACATTTAGCTAATCGGCATTGTGGGAACTCTTTCGCCTTTCGCCTCCGCGATACTCTCAATCAGAAGACAGAACTTCAAAGAGAAAATTATTCATCAAAGCAAGTCACTTACAATTTCGTTGTTTTTCATTTTAGTCTTTGGTATATTGATCGCATTTTATTCACTCTGTGATACGTAATATTCGTGTACTCGGTGGAAACGTTTTTTTCACGAGTAACTCAACTTTGTGGGATAAATTTGAAGAAACTATCTGTTCCTTTTTGAGAGCTTAGTTCTCTTTGCTATTCTTATAAAACAAAGCGTATTGCATTTTTACCTTTGAAAATAAAAACGTGCTCTGGGATATCGAAGACATGGTTGAGATATCGAAGACATCGCTTTAATGTTATAAGCGTCTGGAAATACGATTTGTCGTCAAAGATGTTATCAGCATTCTTTAGAGTACAGTGTTTAGCGCCTCTATCAACACTATTAGGTTATCTAACAGGCGGGACTTTTAAATGTGTAGTCCATCTCCAATAAGACAGAGCCAAATAGTTTGAGAGCTTTGAAAACTCCATAAATAGACACCTGTTCAGGAACGCTCAGTCTGGGAATCGAACCAAGGCCGTTCACTCCGTAGTCCGGCATGACATCAACTGAGCTAGCAGATCACCACCTGATTATTTGGACCTCTTTACTCGATGAAGGTTTCATCTTTACAGGTCCGAATGTGAAAGCTGGTTCCCATAGCTCTAATGTCCACGTTTTGTCCCCACAGCAAACATGAAGTTTCTTGCCGTACTGGTTCTGATTGCGTGCGCAGTGGCTGTGGCCAACTCAGGGAGGACGAAGAAATACGGAGGAGGTGGCCGCAGGGGAGGCAACGCAGTCGGGCACGGTGGAAGCTATGGAGGATCTCACGGTAGTGGTGGAAGCGGCAGCTACGGATCGGTAGTCAGCAAAGGATACGGTGGCAGCAGTGGCGGAGGAGGCTACGGGGGTCGTATGTCCAGCGGAGGCAGCGGAGGCAGCGGAGGGTACGGAGGGGGGAAAAGTGGAGGATATGGTGGAGGATACGGCAGTGGCTCATCGGGATCTGGAGGACACTTCAGTGGTGGCTCTGGGGGATCTCGCGGCAGCTCCTCCGGGATGAGATCGGGAGGTCAACACGGAGGAAGTAGAGGCGGACAAGGAAGTGGCGGCATGCGTCAAGGCTTTGGCGGAGGATATGGCTCAGGGTCAAGTGGGTCAAGTGGAAGCCGGTTCGGGATGTTCTCCAGAGGAGGAGGATCTGGGGGCTCCGGACGCGGTTCTTCCTCCGGAGGCCACGGTTCCCGCATGGGAGGAAGTGGAGGTAGCCGAAGGGGTTCATCCAGTGGTCACGGTGGCAGAGGATCCGGGTCTGGAATGAGCGGCGGCAGACGTGGTGGACAAATGGGCGGACGCAACGGAGGCAGGGGCAGCAGCCACGGAAGCGGAATGCGCCAAGGGAGTGGAGGAAGAGCTTCCTCCCGCTACATGGGACATCACGGCTAAGCCAGACATGAACATTTCACAGATAATGGCGTTGTGAGATTTCTGTCGTAAAATATTATGCTTTTAAACAAATTTATACTGAGTGTGTGTGTGTTTCTAGGGCTTTGTTTGATTTTTATAGATATGTTCTTCTTTCCAAGAAGTTTGTTTGTTGCTGTCATAACGAGTGGGTGACCGAAAGTAAATAGCGGGGACATAAAACACTTTATAACACCAAAATTGGCTGACGTCATAATCTATACTTTATTACTTTGTTAGTAACAATAAAAGATTAAAAAGGGGAAGTGATTGTTCACTTCTGGGTAGAAACTGTTCTAATTTTGGATTGAAAATGAAGATTAAAACCTACAGTTCCACCGCTTGTAATTGAAGATGTAGCAATTGAAATCACAAATTCGCTCAAATTCGAATGTCTTGGTCTCAGAATCGAAAAAAAAGTGTCGTCTTACTTTTTACAGATCATATAGACTGGAGGTCAGATACCCAAAGCTAACTGAACGATAACTGGCAAGATGCATGCAGGCTTTAATACGCAATTGTTATCCTGTCTTCTGTAACAAATATAATTATTTCATGATATAAAAACAGACTTTGCCTTTTTTGCATTTTTTAGATTGCCACTTCTGATTTGATACTGCTGTCTCCACTTTAAGTTATATTTCTTTGATAGTATGTGCTCCCACCTCCTTTCTCCTCCCCC